CTCTAATAAATCGGCCTTCTTCATGCTGACTCAGGGATTTAGGGCTCAACTTCAGGCGCCTTTGTAAAATCAGACCTGATTCTCGCTATGAGGAATTATCTCCTCCACCGTAGGAAAGTTCTTGTCATCGACGGCAACGGAGATGCCCTCCGCATGAGCAGGAAAAACCATCGCTAAGGGAACCAGGTCACTTTCCTCGTTGGGACCAGAAGATACGTTAGACATATTTCCAATGAAAGAGGGAGTATTCAAATCAACGGGGAGCTAAAAACAACAGGGATCGCTAGGGTAGGGAAAGAAGATGCACAACAATGAGGACACAAGGTTTCGATATGGGAAATCTGTAAAACTTGAGATTGTGTCTTCACATCCCTATTTATAAGTGCTCAGGCGTCGGAACTGAGAAATTAGGTCATCATTACTTGGCACCAGTGTCGAAGCGGCAGATCCAACAAAAAGACACATGCGAAACGACGCAACGCATCAAAAAAACGCATCATAATGACATATGACGTCACTTTGATCCAGGAACAACGTAACCCCAAAAGTTGCGGCTCATGAAAGGCCACGTTGCCAGCTCGCCTCAAACATCACAACCGACCCACTCGTCCAACCATCTCGGCCACGACGAATAGAATCCGCTCATCAAGCCCGCCTGAGGCCCTCAATAAGCGGATGGACTAACTGTATGGGTTGAAATATGACAGATAATATTCGAAATAAGATTACTCTAAAGGAAGAATTCTCGAGTCGTCATTAGTTGAGGTGGGCCAGAAGCAGAAATACTCGTATCCGAAGAATCGACGAGAGTCGTGGTCGAGATGTCGATAATGGTCGAGGTCAAACATCGCTGATGAAGCTGTAACGGCTAATTTTTGAAATAAGATATTAAAGGGAATATTCTCTTTAATTTGTACTATTAGGGTTTGTTAGAAATATGTCTCATATATATATAAAGAGGGACCAATGATGCGAGGCACGTGAGAGTCATCTGTAAGAACAAACTTTTAGCTAAAGATTCTCTCTCTTACTAAGATACAAGAAGGACATTTCATCTAGATTATTGTCTAAATTATTCTCCACTTTCCATCATATCCGAGAATAATTTGAACATTCAAGGATTTGTCTGTCACTTATCATTGTCAAGAGGGATAACCACCTAGTTCATCCATTATTGGATGAATCACTTCTTCTTTTACTTAAATGTCATTTATTATTATTCATTGCTATTAAATGTTCTATTATTGCTCATATTACATGGAAGGATTATTGCACACCATTATTACACATCGACCAGATTTGTCCAACGTTATTCACACTCTGGCATCTATAAATATTATTGTTAACTAGGTTTAACCTCTTATCACATAAATTTAATTATTGAGCCAAGGATTATACTTTTTGGCCAAACAATCTTAATCATACATACCTATTTAGACCCATTAAGTGATTGTGAAATAAAAAAAATATACTTAATGATTAAGATCTGAATGATTAAAATTCAGACTTTAAAATCCAACGCATTTAATGTCTAAGATATGAATTAAGATTCAAGTACAAACAAATGAGACCTAAGACTGTTAAAGTAGCCAAATTGTTAACTTGAAAAAGTTTCAACTCATTGTCGGCTTAATATAGCTAATAGTGATTTCGCTCAATTGTTTGGAGCAGATCTGAAGCGACAAGATAACTGGAAAATAAAAGTATCTTTTGTTTATTAAATAACTAGTATTAAAACCCGCGCAGATGCGCGGACACTAATTATGTCAAATATTTAAATTATTTGAATTGTATATAAATAATCTTAAAATTTACACTTTCCCAGTAAATATAGATAATCATTAGATATTGACTACATGAAAAAATTAACCATTTCTTCTATTTTTCTTTTTTCGATACCATTCTTGCCGGTGTGATAGGATCCTAAAAATAGTCAGGAAGCAAAATAATAACTCATATTTATGGTAAAACAATCAAATGTTGAGGCAATGAATGACTCTTTGGATAAGACTTAACTCTTTTACCACTATTTGAACTCTTATTTGGTGTGTTGATATCTCTTAAAAGTATTTCTTTCTTAAAATTTCAGTTTCTAAAACATTATTTTTCAATAATATTATTTTTATAATAATGTAATTGAAAATATTATTCTTGATTCAAAACTCATTTTAGTTGGCTATCTAAAAATATAAAAATTCTTTAGCTAGTGATTTTTTTTTACTCTATTTTGATTTTTGACATTAAACATGATAAATATCTGAGTTATTTGAATTATATGTAAATAACCTTAATATTTAAACCTTCTAAATAAGTATAGATAATCGTCAGATAATCATTAAGAAACACTACATGAAAAAAGACTAACATTTTCTCAATTCTCGTAGTGATAATTTTATTTTTGCACTATTCTCATAGGTGTCAGTGGAACTTAAAAATAGCCACAAAGTAAAATACTAACTCATATTTATGGCAAAGCACAAAGGTTGACACGGTATAAACGATTCTTTGATTACGACGTGATTCTTATACTACGACTTGAACTCTTATTTGGTAGTATGATTTTATCTTTCGCAAAATATTTCTATTTTGAAATTTTAATTTCTACAACTTTATATATATTATAATAATGATTATCTTTATAATGATGCAAGTGAAGATATTATCCTTAATTTAAAATTCACTTTAATCGGCTATCTAAAAATTTAAATGATTCTTTGGCCGGATTTATTTCAGTATGACTCCACTTTAAGTTTATCGATATCTCTAGCCCCAGAATTTGAATTTTTAATACCCTATATATACAAAAATTTTGTTCTTTGAATCATTAAATGTTAAATTAGTTGATTATTATTATAAAACATTGCATATATTGTCTTAAAATTGTCAAGTAGTTTATTTTTCGACACCATACTTGGCTTAACCTCAATGCAAACTACTCAAATTGCATTCCAATTCAAATTCGAATATCATAAACGACACATAATGTAAATTAAAAAAAAATATTCGAAGATATCCTTATCTTATAATCTATGTATTTGAGTTGAAAAAAAAATATTTGAAATCGATGAGATTAACTTTCAAATTTTTTATACTCAACAAAGATGAAACATAAGAAGAAATTTGTTGTCATCTTTTATTTTTCGTTTTTAGATCTTTCTAACATTTTTTTCAATATTTATTTTCTTTTATCTTATTTTTTATGTCATTATTTCTTTTGTTACAAAAAATTAATTTATTTCACTATAAAAGGACGAGTTTTAATAAAAATTGTCTACATATGAACTTTAATTATATTTTTAGTCTTTGGTTGAAATTATTTCATATTTTTCTTTTGGCTTTATCTAATCAGCCTAAATAGGTGCTCACCCGACCACGCCATTACAAAATTGAATGATGTGTAATTTATATATAATCCATATATAATATGTGTATAATCGTGTGTTGTCAGTATATCATCTATTTATATTAGCTATAAAAAGTAAACAATATATGTGGCCGGATATTATGTAAATATTCCATAAGATTTTGGTTTTTTGAGTTTATCCATGATATAACTTCTATTATAATAATTTTTAAACCCTCTACTAATATTCAAAAATATCTTATCTTTTTATTATCTTTGAATTAAAAAGAAAAAGTAAAGAGTTTTTTAGAAATAATTGGTTTACATTTAAAAAAAAAATTACGTCATACCAATTTTTTTCTTTGTATATACTCTTTGTTACACTTAAAAGTCGTTATAGAAACTATCAATTAGGAACCAATTTCTCTCTTGTTGAGTTTGAAAAAAAAAACTTTCACATAATCTAATGATTCAAAACTAATATTCTTCAACAGAAAAAATATTATACCCTTGTAATGTTAGCTTGACTACAACTAAATGAAGGGGTTTTGGTTTATACCCTTCAATATGTGCTAGATTGAAATTAATGATAGCAATTGTATAGCCAAAATTTTGTTATTTGTTTGATGTCCATTTATGAAAATTGACTATTCAAACAAATATTCTTCAAGAAGAAAAAAGAAACAATTTTTTTTTAATATTGAGTGATTTTGTGATGTTTCTTTCTCCAGCATATATGTTTACTTTATTACATATGTAAGTAAACTTTTATTGATTTTATAAACTCTTTTTTGTTATTTAGATAAACATAGACGTGTACCCTATATATTACATGTATTTTAAAAGAATTTCGTTTTATTCAAATCTAGCTACAGTGTTTCAAANCTTATACCCTTCAATTCCTTGAATGTGCTAAATTGAAATTAAAAACAAATATTCTTCAAGAAGAAAAAAAAACAACTTTTTTTTTTAGTATTAACCGATTTTGTGATGTTTCTTTCTCCAGCATGTATGTTTACTTTATTATATATGTAAGTAAACTTTTATTTGGCTTAGTAAACTCTTTTTTGTTATTTAGATAAACATAGACGTGTACCCTATATATTATATTTATTTTTAAAAAAATTTATTTTATACAAATTTAGCTACAGTGTTTCAAAAAACTATACTTATAGGATTTTAAATGTGAAAGAGTTTTATAGTTATATGGAGTAGTTTTTTTTTTTTTTGCTAGAGGCAAAGTAGTATTTAAATAATTATACAAAAATAATAAAAGTTCCTAACATGATTGCATATGATCATTAACCGAATTAAGTATGATAACATAATAAAAAAAGATAAATTTTATTTTTAATTTAAATTCGAATTTTAGAACTTTATCTATTATATATTTAACTAAAATAATCAAATATAGAATAAAGTTATCATATACTATTGACATTTATTAGCTTGCCACTTGGCTTAAATATAATGTCAATTATATATGGTAACTTTCTTGCTTTAATATATATATAGATAACAATAGAAGCAAGAAGATGCTGTCGGTGCTCCATATGCAGGTATATAAATAAACCTTTGCTTGCTCTCAAAAGCTAGAAAATCCCGTGCCAATGAAAGGTGCATTAACTATTGACGAATGCGAGGCAAGAAGAAGGTAAGCGGTAAAAAGTTGAAGTACCTTAGATAAGGTAAGATGAAAAAAGAAAACATATTGAGTTCCATGGTAAAATATCCAGAGTTGCTTTAATCAACCAATCCTAAAACTCGGCAGTAATTTGCAAACCGACTCATCCTTCATTAACACATGGTATCAGACAATCTTTTATTATTCTAAAGCCGAATTAACCTGTAACAAGAAGTTTACATTACCACCTAAACTTGCTTTCCAATTGGGATTAGGAGAGTCCAAAATGACAGAGTTGACCAAAAATACAAGGAAAAGAACAGCAACCTTAGTGCTCTCCAAGAATTCAAATACTAGAGGTGAGCAACTTCAGTTAGATACCACGAAATGATGGCAAGACAGCAATAAGTGGATCACCGTAACCAACAGCTTCTGCAATGCACCATATATGAAAAGTGAGTTGAGGTTTTCCAGAAAGAAGATGAGAGCACAGTAGATAATGTTAACAATTTAGAAATGCGCGCAAAGACCAACATCAAGCAAGCATATTAATATTTGCATACATTTTGAAGCTAAGAGAATCATCATCGGCAGATGGCAGAGAAATAACACTGGGAAAGGGCAAATGGCTTAGTTAATGACCTTGTATGAGTCGGCCATTTAGGAAAACCATTTATACTCAGTTAAAATCATAACGCACAAACTGGAAAAAGCTCACGTATCAATAGATCTTAGGCACTAACAAGGATGGCAGCTTAGGAGATTAAAGCAATAAAGAGTATGTCACATGCTTGTTAGGTCCTACTACTGACTTTTTCTCGTCACTTGTAATTGATCAATTGAATCCTAAGTTGCGCGGACTCTTTGATTTAGGTGCCGTCACCGTCCCGGTACGAGACGGGAACGGGAGCGGGAAACGTCCCGGATTCAGTCAACTGACTTCGGACACTTTGATCGAAGTCCATCGACAAATTTGGGAGAAAATTGAGATTTTGATTTCTCAAATAAAAAATAAAACAGCTTTAGGAGAATGAAAGAATAATGTCCATCTTGGAGAATGAAAGATTGAATTCTACAATATTCATGTAAGTTTTTCACGGAATATCTCTCAAAATTTACAATATTTTTATAGCTCTACTTTTTATTAGCCGAATCCCCGCACCCGTATCCATATCCGGATCCGCACCCCCGAATCTTAAAATTTAGATTTTGCCGAATCCGATACTCGGATCCATCCCCGTATCGTATACCCGCACCCGAGTCCGAGCAACTTAGATTGAATCCATTGGGAAAAGTTATCCTTTTTCTTTTTTCTTTTTAGATAAAGAATAGGGTAAAGTTATCATGACTTCTCCATTTATGATTGTAGAGTTATAGGTAATTCATAATCTCTGCATCATCAGTCTCTTTCAACATATTGAACCTCACAGGCTCTTTTTCTTAATCATTTGGCATAGCACAATCTTTCTATTCAATAGGTTGCTTTTTCGGCCGCATAGCCTCAAGCATTTCTAGCGCTTTGCACAAACCAAACCAGCTTCTATACCTATCTCATATCAGCAAAACTTGACCCTAAATAACTGAGTTGCTAATTTGTTGGTATTATTTCGACATTAATGTTCTTATACCATCTAGTTGAGCTCCTGAAAACTGAAGTTAGATTATATACATGTAGTTGAATCCAACCTTGAATAGCTTCTCATTGCTGCTCCAATGCAGAATTGATGATACAATTGTTTCATCTTTCTCTAAAATCTGAAACGCAGAGAACCCTGCCTTCTTTCTTTTTAAATAATACAACTAGCTAAGAAATGTGAACACGACTCACTAGATTTGCTGTCATTCCTATATGATAAAAGTCTTACATGCCAGGTCAAAGAAAGCAAATCAACTTTAAACAATCCACTCAACCCAGACAGAAATACAACCAGAAACTCAGACAACAATGTGTAGGTATATGATTATATCAGGCCAATATTAGAATTAACCCAAAATATCATAACGTGTGTTGTCGACATGGTACGGGACTGGAGTCTAGCCCATCATGTACGACGTAGAAGATGGTTTAGGTCAATTATTGATCGCCCAACATCGGCTGATCCTAACCCAGATGGGTTGGTAACAAGAAACCAATCAACCCCACTACTGCTATCATGTAGAAGTTATTTTCTTAGTTCCTGAGTGGGGAAGTTACTGAGGAGCAAGGAGAGTTACTTTGAGAGGAGAAGCTAAACAAAACTTGACGCAGCTAATGCTTCAGCAAATTCTTTAGAGAAGTATTGTAGTTTTTTACTTTTGAGAGAAAGAACTCTAGTAAAAAGATTAGGATAAAAAGTTACTCCTAATCTTTTTCCACTCTTAAACATCTCAAAATAGCCTATGTCAAAGTATCAAGGCATTTAGATTATAGCAATAAGTCTGTTTCCCTATGAAGTAGCGCGGACTTGCAGTCAATTTCTTGTGAACAACCAACTTCCTCTATATCCACTACAAATTTTGTGGTTTTAATATCTCATATGCACTATAATTGGTAATTTGGCAGAAAAACTGCAGCTGGGATAATCTGAGTAGTAAAACAAGGTGGAGAAAGAACCAAAAAAAGTTGAAAGAAGCATACCACCGTCATTAAAGAGGATCTTCAAGACTTCTCCGGCGGCATCTGACTGCTCAATAAAAAAAATTTAAAAAAAAGTCACCAAATATTACCCTGATAACAGATAAATAACAGAAAGGATTGCCTGAGAGGCTTACTCTGACAGGAAGTTCTGTCCCAAACTGATCCAAAAAGCCAATAATCTGTCCCTCCTTGATAACATCACCCTGCACAGAAGCATACACGCATGATTCAAGCACTAAGCTATACTCCACATAGGCCTTTGTCAGGTTAATCCTGACACGTGAGCATCACATTGAAGACAACAAGAGCATATGTCAACAACAAATAAAAATGGTCTACTGAGTTCCAAGATCCTAGTAAACCACTGCCGCTCTCAATTCTTAGACCTTTAAGCAAAGAAATGGTATGCTCACAAAACAAACAAGATAGATGTCCTCCGTTCATACCTTCCAATATCTAGACATGATAGTTCTAATCTTTTGAAGAACTAAGCCTACAACATCTAGTGGTCAAGAGATCCGATAGGATACTAATCTAATTTTAAGAGAAAGTTAGTAGTTATCCATAGCAAATGAAAGCCTTCAGTTACCTCTTTACAAGCAGGTGGCTGTTTCTTTCCCTTTAATGTCCTGGCCCTTCGGAATGAACCAACCTGCCAGAAAAAAAAAAGCAGAAGTCATTGCTGGCGTAGTCCATGATACATGCTAAAAGTGTTTACCAGGGTCAAGTAATGCACACCGTCGGGCATGATACAAGAACATAGCCACTAGCTCCAGTAATCTCTAGTGCAGCTAATTTTGCTGATTTCTCAGCAGCGACGTTTGTGAATGGGCTGATCTTTTCTGAGGAAGATTTTCCCGGGGAAGTTGCAGGAGCAGCAGCTGTTGATGCAGTAGATGGTTTACTTGCGCTAGGTGGTGGTGGTGGTGGTGTGGAAACAACAGGTGCAGGCACTATTGGAGCTTCAATATCCCGCTTCAGGTGCAGTTCGAAATCTCCGATCTATGAGAAAAACCATAATATCCAATCAAACATCAGTGGAGATAAACTCCTTTTCTTTCATAATATATTAGAAAAGCTATTTTAAAAAAGTATTTAGAATTGTATTTCGACAGAAATAATAAATAAATCATTACGGAGAAACCTACAAAAGTGATTTTCTACACTGGCAATACTTGTCATATCAAAACCCAACATGGAGTTCATAGATTTGCGTAATCAACTAATCAACAAACTGAAAATTAGAAAATTGACTTTCATATTCATTCCAAAATTGCCAGTGACTACTTGGATGATACATGCTACAATTCCAGTAAGTAATTGCAGCCTTCAATTCTTTATGCAGAAATGTTTCAACCATATTATTTGTCATTGCAGTGTTATATATGATCACGCTTGGTGGTACAGAATTGTCCAATACAGCAAAGCTCACTGAATTAATATGCACCTTTATTCCTTCTCTTTTCTTCTACTACAAGGCAATATATGAATTTCTGATTCAAACGGCATCAATGATTGAATTATCCAATTATTACTAAATATAATCAGACCTTTCAGATCAAACTGTGTGGTGCTGAAATAGCAGACGCTACCATCTCAAGATATTTTAGACATTGTTCTAACAATCGTAATACAATTTACTCACTCTTTAAATTTAACTTTTTTCTATTACCAATGGGGAGTGGGAAGGGGAAGGGAAAGGAGGACAGTGAGGGCTGACCTAACATCTATATTATATGGAAGACTCCCACCGTTACCACTAGGCTATATGCCTTGGTGCTAGTCAACGACCTAAAATAAGCATTCTGTTGATTTCTACCAAGTTGAGGTTTGATTAGTGACTAATAAAGATAATTTTAAATATGGTAGTAGTCTAATGTATAATTTCAGGTCATAGCACACATGGCAGGGCTATGTGGCTACGGAATCTCATATGGTTTGAAGATAAGACAAGCTTCAAACTTCCCTTTGGTTATTTCACGCTTCCTCAGATTTTTAAACTCTTATAATCTCATCTATATATTTCTATTTCAGAATCTCCCTAACAAATGAAAAGGCAGCAATAGTGGTTATGCACTATAATGAAAGGACACGTGAGCAGCCAAGGAAAATGCTTACCTTAAGTTTCAGCTCAGCAACCTCTGTGTCATCACACACTTCAGTAATCAGAGCCTGATGAGAGCAGTAAAGAACAACAATCAAGCTTAAAGTCACAACAAGCATAGAGCTAAGTCCAGAAATCCATGTCTAAGATAAGAAAGCTGTATAAAAGAACATGAAGAAATTAAATACGCGATTTTGAAATCACCAGAATAAGAACAATGACACAGGTTATTACGGGTTTTCCACAAACATGAGTAGTATTTTTTAACCATGCAAAAATGAGAAACAATTACTAAATCAGAAGCTCAAAAGTGCTTAACAAAGACCGGCTGCAGTTGCAGGATTTCTTGGTTCCCACACAGTTCAACTGGACTTGCATAAAAACATAAAATCATATATCAAACTTTAGTTTAGGAGGACCAATTAAGCCAAAAGTCAAGCATCAAGCATATAATGCAATAAAATCAACACAAGGCACTTAAGACACCCACAAAAAAGAAAAAGAAAAAACAATCCAGTGAGACATTTCAACATCCAAAGAGATAAACCAACCTCAAAACCCTTTGGAAATGTTGCTGTTGGCAGTGGACTCTTCTCCGTTGACACTTTTTGGTGGCTATCTGTAAGAACAGCTCCTTCAGATTAAGGGAATTTGGCCTAGAAGTTAGATGTGATGGGCTGCTATGTTGCGCGGACTCTCCAAAATGTAGCCGCACCCGTGTCGGATCCTTCAAAAATGCACTACTTTTGGAGGATCCGACACGTATCTGGCCACATTTTCGGAGAGTCCGAGCAACATAGACGGGCTGCACTCATAAAGGAATCCAGAAAACTACTTTCCACTCTTTATCAGATAAATTCCAAAAGGATAATCTTTAGATTCCACTAGAAGTTCTACTCAGAATGATTTAAGAGGCTGTGCTTGCAAGCATAATGGTATGGTAGATAATAAAAAGCACCAGCGCATCAAATACCAAGAATGAGATGTACATTCAATACAATAGCCAAATGGAAATTAGAAATGACTAGCCCCTAGATACTGATTTACACCTGGCATAATAAGAAAGCACACTCACCATCAGATTTTGCTGTCACAGTTGTTTCAGATGTCTTTGCACAAGACAGTATGAAACTACTATGCTTGTTAGTAGAAGACACGAGCTTTGCACCATTTGAGGATCCCTTAAGGGGGAACTTAGTAGGCTTGGAGAAGCCAACATTATTCATTGGAATGACACCAGGAATTTCGATTACTGACCTCATATGGGAAGTGTTACCAACTGAATCTGTCATCAGAAATAGTTAAGTAGGATATCCACATGAGACAGACAGATTATAATAGAACTATTTGAGGATATCCACATGAAACAGATAGATAGATTAGAACTACTTGCAAGCATTTATGCAAGAAAACAGGTTTCGCATCAGTAAGGTAATTCAGAGGCTGGATAGTGAATATCCAAAGATAAGAGGAATGTAGGTTTATTTATTAAAAGAACACATGCATGAAAACAGGTAAAGCCAATTATATGCTTATGCTTAAAGGAAAATGAAAAAATAAACTGCCCCTTCTATTCGTTCAAATAAAAGGAGAATTTTTTTTGGGGGGTACTTTTCTGGATCACCTTACATCATTTCCTACTCATTAATTAGGATTTTGCCTCATGTTTTTCTGGCTCAATTGCACACTGGTCCCCTAAATTCAACAGAACGATACGCTTTTGTTCTGCCAGTGAGTACAAATAGCTAGAACATCTGTCGTGATTTTTCATGAAAGTAAATTGCACTCAACACAATGCAGCTTCGTCAATCAAGAACCACTAGTTAGAAGTTCCTCTCAAAGACTAATCTAATAACACATATTTACTGCCACAGCTTTCTGATCTTTAATTCATCTAAAATCAGGCATAAAAGAAAGGACACTGTTTTGCCACTGTACAGTTCAGGTATCATTCCTCTCCTATACAGCTCATTTTTCCAATTTAAGAAAATATTAAAATTCAAATGCGCGAAATTGCATAAATCAAGCATTTAAATCAATGTCGGATCTCAGATGAAAGAGTAAGGGAAAAAAAGAAGCAGATAGCTATAATTTGTTACCAACGAGAGCTAAGAAAAAACTAAGCTAAAAGCTTAATCTAGCTATCCGTCAATATAACAACAAAAAATAACAGATGTACACAAACAAAAATACATAGCTACATCACCAAAGAAAATAATCCATTCAGTTGAAAATGTATATATGAGAATTACGGTGAAAGGAGCGGAGAACAGCGGCGGACTCCATTTGGTAAAGGAGATGTGATCGGAGAGACCGAGGAAAATTGGAGAGATATTAGAAGAAAAGAGGGGGAAGAACGTATTTATAGCAAATGGAAACTGAGAAAATGAGATTGGGTTATGAGCTTAGCAGAGTTGTGAGAATACTATTATCTGCCAGCTTTGAGATGTCCGCCCCCGAACTTCTATTTCTTCACCCACCCCTACCGTTTCCGACTCTTTGCTGACCTGTGCAACTAGTTTCACCAACAAAAAGAATACCAATATAAATCATATTATTTGTGGACATCCATATAAATATATAAATATGTTTTTCATAATAATAATTAATACATTATGCAATGGTAGATGAAACACTTATATGAAGTCATATCTTAATCTATCACGGGATGTTTTAAGTTTATTAGCTCGATACGTCAACCCAAATCCCTACATTAGTTTGAAGTATTAGGCTTACTTGTAGCGAAATTCTTAAAGTGAAGTGCTTTTCAGCTAGTCATATTTCTCTCTCTGTCGTTAATTATTCAATCACCAGCATAACATCATACCTACACTCATATAAATTAAAACAAACTTAGCGCCTTTTAATTTCTTGTATATAAATGCAAGAATCATGATGAGTAAGTTCAAGGAGACAAAATGCACCTTATTTTATCGGTGCAGAGTCGTTGACCTTCAAATGAATCCATGTTACTCGAGTTACAATTTCATAATTCAGTCGGTTGCTCCAAATAGATTGATAATTGAACTGAACATTCGTCAATGGCCATCAGACAGATAAGGATAGTTGATTACAGGATAATACAACTCTGACTTCCCAAAAGCCTCACCAGAAACTTCCTAGAGTGTGGGCACGAAATTTGGTTCTTAGAAAGTACAAAGACATATAGACTTAATATTTCCATAAATGCAAATGATAGAATACCAAAGTAAGAAATGAGAAATTGAATCCCTAAAATTTGTGATAGCTTCGGTATCCAGGTTTATGATACCAGGAAAGGAAGAAAAAATCAGGGGAGGTGCTTGAATAAATCATTGTTCTTTTTCTGCTTATGAATTTTATGGTGCCATTTTTTGTATATTTATGCACCAAGATATAAACACTGAACAGGATTATGCAAAATATATATATATATATATATATATATATATATATATATATATATATATATATATATATATATATATATATATATATATATATATAGGCACAAAATGAAATCTCATTTATACGAATGGAATAATGTTAACCGCTAAATTATTACAAGATAAGCATTTTGAGTTGGCATGTATGGATTTGGGTTTTGGAACAAGTTAAGCCTTTCCCTCCGTCTCTTTGAAATTTTAACAATGCCCCTCTATTTTATTTTATGTTATTTCATTTATATAATATCTTAGTGATGGTAGAAGAGAATATTAAAGTAATGTTTAAAAGAGATCAAACACCATATCCAAGTTAGTGTGAATAATTTGATAAATTTAAGTTCATGAAAGTTATAAAAATTGTATGGAAATAGAATGTTCAAACCGTTTGACATATTTCAAACAATAGAAGAGTCTCATTTGGAGCGAAGAGAGTTTGATCTTTTTGACATATTTCAATTATTTGGAGCGAAGAGAACATCATTATTTCAACCTGAAAATTTTAAACTTGTAGCAACCCCCTAGGGAGAATGCCACTTAATAAAACTAATCTAATACTTACTGTATGCGGTAAATTGGTTAGTGATAGTTGGACGAATGAGGAAGTGACACGTGGAGCTGAAGACAAGTAAGATGTGAGTGAGCAAGTACTTACACTGGTTGCAAGGATGTGACCTGGGTGAATTTCGAAGGCAGGGTAACCGATAACAAAGATTGGAAGAATTGAAATCGGACAGCATTCAACGAACAACCCTTACAGAGAATATCTACATTTATAGCCAACTGTTATGCAGTCATCAATGACGGTTTTATTCTGTCACGATCCCAATTTCCCACCTTAGTATGTCGTGATGACACCTAGCCTCTAAGACTAAGTAAGCCTAACAATTAATAATAACTTAACAGAAATAATCAAACAGGAATACTAAAGTAAAAATGATAAACTCATATAACTTTCCAAATAGGATCTCAACAACACTTCTCCCAAAACCGGTGGAACAGAGCCATAAGCTCTATAAAATAATCTAGAATGTCTACTACAACACCGTCTGAATAAGAAATACAATAGAATGAAAAGATAAGGGAAGGTGACTCCAAAGCCTGCGGACGCCGAGCAAGTATACCTTGAAGTCTCCGGAAAATAGCTACAATCAATCACTAACCTCCAGCACGGGCAGACGTACCTGCATCTGCATAAAAAGATGTGAAGAAGCATAGTATGAGTACACCACAACGATACCTAGTAAGTATCAAGCCTAACTTCGGTAGAGTAGTGACGAGGCCAGGTCAAGACACCTACTAGGACATAATAAATAGAACGAAAATATGATAACGAGAAGTAATGGAAAACGGAGAAATAAATGATAACGAAGTAGGTTAATAACGTAGACTAATGAGAGAATTGTAAGCATAGAGATAACAAGAAGGAAACAAATAAAGAGAACCACAACAGTCAAATACAGACAAAAACTGATAAGACAAGGAAGAATAAAAGCAACAAGGACTATTCCACCAATAACTCTTTTCAACATGAGATGCACAAAAAGAATCACAACCGAGATACCGCCTCGTATACAACAAGAATCACTACCAAGGTCCCGCCTCGTAATCACATTTCTCAATTTCAATCACAATCTTTTCTTATGCCGCCCTGTGAGCCTTACATTTAGATAGTTTTGAAAATATTTTTCCCGAAATAGCTACACGCACTTTAGCTCACCTTATGAAGCCGCGTGGCTTCAAGTAATTCTCTTACTAGCAACACGCACATAAATACCACCTTATGCCGCCGCATGCACATTAACCTCTATCCTTATACCGCCACATGCGCATCAATCTCACAACACAATAATAACTCGCACCACAAGTGCTCATATGCCACAACTTGCCGAGAATCAACAATATCAATGTTTCCAAAATAATAGCCCATGACTCAACTACAACGTGTACAAGAACATCAACAATAACAAAGAATATAAATTGCTCAACAAGGAAGATATCTCAACAATTACCAGATTTCGCCACAATGTGACAACGACTTCCACAATTTCAACACCAGTAACTCACTAAGAAGGTATTTCACCAAATAACAACTTTAATTACAAGTAATTCAACAATTAAGAATGTAACAAGGCAATAACTTCAACTAGGCATATAAGAGCAAAACAACAAGTAAGAGGTAGAACAAGTATTAAACAAAGTCAAATAAAGCATGTAAGGATAGAGTAACACATGTATGAGTATATTAACAATGAGAATTGAGACATGATATGATAATTCAATTAAAGGCATGGAAAGGGTTTAAATAACCTAATCCAGTCAAATACCACATATAACCCGTGTACCCACTCGTCACCTTGTGTACACGACTTTCACATAAACACAAATAACACAATCAATCCAATTCCTAAGGGGTAGTTCCCCCTCACAAAGTTAGGCAAGATGATTACCTCAACTATGCCAACTCAATACTCGAAAATAGATTTTCCCCTAAAATTCGTCCCCAGATGGCAAAAATTTAACCAAAATTGAACTTAATTATCATCAAACAATGCAAGAAAAAATAATTACTATAAATAACGCTATGATTTTTACACTTTTCCCTAAAATTCAAGCCGAGGCTCGCGCGGTCAAAACCCGAGTCCAAGGATAGATTCCGACTACCCATAACCCCACAAGTCCATATATTTGGTTAATTTCAAAATTCGAGCCCAAATCGATTCTCAAACTCAAACTCTCATTTTTAAAAAATTTGACAAAAATTTCCCAAATTTTCCTCTTTGATTCACATAAATTTGATGTTAAATCTAAATATAATCAAGAAATGTAGTTGAAAATTGATTAGAATCACTTACCCAATGTTTGTAGATGAAAATCCCCTCTCCAAATCGCCTCCTACCAAGTCTAGGGTTCTAAAATGAGAGAAATGAGACTAAATCCCGACTTTTCTAACCTTTTGTTCAGTTGCAGTTGTCACAATTGCGAGCCCTCGCAAATGCGTCCACTGACAACCTAGGAGGAGATCGCAAGTGCAACACTAACTTCGCATTTGCGAAGCCTGTCCTCATCGCAAATGCGACTCTTTTGTCGCAAATGCGAACTACCACACCTCCTGTCACTATTATAAATTGCGACCCAGGTATAGCAATTCCGACACTTGAGGCCCCCTGTTAAGGTTGCAATTGCAACTCTGGTGTTTGCAAATGCGACACCAGAGGCATCGGCACACCAGATTTTGTTTTTTAGTCCAAAACTTTCTGAAACACGTCCGAAACTCATCAGAGCCCTCGTGGCTCAATTCAAACATCCACACAAGTCTAAAAATATCATACGACTTGCTCGCGTGATCAAAACACAAAAATAACATCTAGAACTACGAATCGGACACAAAACATATGAATTTCAAAGTAAAGTTCAAAAACTTCTAGAATTGCAACTATGCATTCGAATCCTATCAAATCAACTCCAAACGATACACAAATTTTGCATACAAGTTCTAAATTACATAACAGACCTATTCTGAGTCTTAAAATCACATTCCGAACCTGATAGCCAAAAGTCAATCTACGGTCAAACTTCTAAATTTTAAATTGCTAATTTTTGATAAAACAACACAAATCAACCTACGAACTACCGAATTGGATTCCGGGCATATGTCCAAGTCCAAAATCACGATACAAAGCTATCGGAGCAATGAAAATACGTTTCGTGTTCGCCTTCACAAAAGCCAACCATTGGTCTACATAAACAACTTAGGCTTCTAAGCCAAGAATTCAAGGGTCCAATTCAACCTGAAATCTTCCCGGGACGAAACCAATCAACGCCGTAAGTCGTAAAATCATAAACACACATGTATGAGACATAAAAAGGGGAAACAGAGCACAATTACACAAAATGACCGGTCGGGTCGTCACATTCTTGTAAGGCACCGTGAAAACTTGTACTCAAAAACCCGAATCTCGTAGTGCCACGTTAGGATCAGGTATGCGGATCGCATAATCGCAGCAAAGTGAAACAGTGTGTTAGCCAATTTGAGGTCAACTATGTGGTCAATTATGCGATCGCATAATCGATATGCGGGCCACATAG